AACAGGTTTGTATGCACCCAGCGTACAAGACTGTTGGCACAATTTCACACTAACACAAACAACAGAAGTAGTTTGTCTCTGGTCTAAAAATACTAAAGGCCTTTCTCTTAAGTTTATAATAAATGCCATGACCCAACCTTTTACTACCACCACTCCCTCCCAATCACCAATTATGCTTAGTCTGAGAATTTTTTAAATTGGACCATATATAATCAGGAAAACTGGACAACAACAAATATTCAATCCGGCATGGTCTCTTAAACAAGTCAAATTGCTGATGCAAAACAATGTCTCAGAAATTCAGCCGGCCTGTTTGCCTTTACTGCAGACTTCCTTTGAGGGTTGGACACCTGGCTGTGAAAAGGGAGCTCTTTTAAAAAATGGATGCTAAGAGACATAACTGGTGTTGCAGGAACAGATTTGGGAACCCTAAATAGCATTGATTCAGAAGTTTTTACTTTGAATAAATTGGCTGCCACAAATAGGGATTTGACTAAATTACAACAACCACTGCTGCGTTTCCAAAGCCAATAACGATGACTGCACTGGTTGTTATCAAACATATTACCAAATTGGGAGAAGGTAAATGTAAACGATCACAAATTGGTAATTGATGCACTCAGTGCTGCTCGCTGCAGCAAGTGCTACACACAACAACCTTTCTTTGGTTCTCAGCTGTATCCAGGCGCAATTGTGGATGCAGTCAGTTGCTGCTTCAATGATAAGAGAAGGTGAAGAAGGAATTTTCCTACTAAAATTCGGAAAATAATTTGGGACAGCGCCATTGATATTGAAAGAGAATTCCAGTCCTGGTGGAATTTGGTGAATTTTACTTATGACCCCATTACAAACACAGCCATAGCTCTTGTGTTAACCATATGCAATGCCTCAGTGCATTTGAGATTTCCTATTAATGCATTAGGGCTGAATCTTGATGGAGCTATTCTCTATCCTTCTGAACATAGATAATGGGCCTGTCAAATTGGTAAAAAATGGCAAACTGGTAATTTGGAACCTTGTATTGTTCAAGAACAACAAGCGTTCATCTGTGAAAGCAATGCAATTATAGCTCAAGACATTTGTTTGGACACAGAGCAAAATGTCGTTTTGAAATTCATCCTAACAAGACTTCTGAAACAGTCCTTAAACACATAGGCAATGGGTGTGCATGCTTTAGAACTGCTTGTGATATTGTATTTATAGAAAATGTAGTAGTGGATACTAAAAATAATTCAAATTTTTGTGCTTGTAACTTTACCAAAATTGCAAGATGTGATTCTTCTTATGAAGCTCCAGTTACCTCTCATTACCTTTTACAATCCAATTAAACACCAATTCACAAATTATTACCTACTCCCATTGGGATGAACATTACTTTGGTAAAGCAATTGTTGCTTCACCAGGACTTAATAAAAATATTAGAGAAGATCAAGAAGAATGCACAGAAAGCCCTAGTAACTGTTCATCACAAAGTGAAAGAAATACTCCGTGTCATAGAGAGAGTAAGAAAAGAGGCCGAACACAGGTGGTGGGACACTCTTTTCGCATGGTCACCTACTGCCACAAGTGTTCTGAACAATATGTATCATCCCATCATTATGATTTAGATTCCAGTTCTGATTGGTTTTATTTTATCAGCAATCTTATTCATTATGAATTGGAGAAGGATGAAATGGTTAACAAAATTGAAGTTTATAATTAATGCACACAACTTGGCTGATGTCCTCTTCACTGTGGACATCCCCAAGACTGTTGACACAAGGTGATTATAAATTAGAGTATGTGTTTTGAAATAATCCTCAATTTTCTTTTGTGATTTTGTGAAAATTACTTTTGATTTTTGGTGATTTGTTTTGAAAAAATTATTTTAAATTAATACTTACTGTATTTGTTTATTGCTTTAATGCCTTTGATTATTTGTGATTTGTTTGGATCGTTTGAAGAAATTGTTTGAAAAGAATATTGTTTTAATGAATATTAATTATATTTGTTCATTGTTTCCCTTTTCCCCTTTTTCTATCTTTTCTTTTCTCTCTCTCTCTACATTCTGTCTCTGTTTTCCAGGATATGCTACCAACGCTCGACAAGCCCTGAAGACTTTGCAACTATGCTATGGAACCCTGCTGATGAAGACCTATGGAAGACTGTCATGAGTCACTGGCTGGTATGAGAGATGATCTCAAGTTCCCCTCATTTACCTCACGACCATCCATCCCCAGGACAGATATCGGGACCCTGAGGATCCTGATCGGAATTCTGGCCTGCTTGATGTGGATGAACACCAAAAATCCTGAGGCCCCTGAGCAGAATTCTGGCCTGCCAAGTGATTGTTCACAGCTGTGTCTACAGTGACTGCTTCTAGCAGGGCCTGCCAAGGGGCAACACGCCCTATATGACTGCACCTGCTTCGTGACAATAGGCCAGGAATTTTCCCACCTCTTGGCCAGATGAACTTGCTGGGGCAACTTTGGTAGAACCACCATGGAAAATCCTTCATCTGCTCCACTACCACCATGAGGGACAGAGATTGAAGCCCCCTGCCAAGGACTCAGACCCCCGTAATTCTGATGCAGGGGTGCTGGCCTGACTGAAGCAGGATGCCTGCTAAGTGTTGCCTACAGATGTGTTCACTGGACAGATTGGTTTCCCACAGAAAGCAGTCCTTAAACAGTGGGTCCCACTCACTGCTGATACTGACTTATCCTGCTGAGAACATGACTGTCTGTACCTGTCTTCAATACCTTTTCCCCCCCGCAGCGATTTCAATAGACTTCTTGATTGTATCTCTTCCCCCTCAGCCATTTCAAGATCTGTTTCCCCCCTCAGCAATGGACTATAATGGAACCTTGAGTTAACCGGGACCTTGAGATCTTGCCAACATCACTAGGCAAACTCCATCGGCTGGACTACAAGGACTTTGTCTCTCCACATTTGGTAGGCTCTTTTCTATTCTTTTCCTCTCCCTAATTCCTTTCACGCATTTGCTGTGGTCATTCTATAAAGGTGCATTTGTTTTTGATTGATACTGCAATCCCCTTTCCATGTTTTGTTTTGCACTCCGAGATCAGTTAACACAATAATCTGGAACTGGGGAGGGGTCTAGGAGTGGGGAAGGGATCCATAAGAGGGACAGGGTCTAGGAATGGGGAGGGGTCCGAGATTGTGGAGATGGGTCCATTCTGGGATTGGGACGAGGTCTCTCCCTGGGGTCGGGGACCATTATTGGGTTGAGGTGTCTCCCCTTCCTGATCCCGCCACTGTTTCCAGGGAATGGCTCCGATCTCAACCCCGACCACAAACCTGAGGGGGTCAAACACCCCAAATCCTGGGGTCAAGCTCCTGACCCCAGATCCTGGGGGTTCCAACACTGGGGGGGGAGGTCAAACATCCCTAAACCCAAATTCTGGAATGTCAACCTCCCCCCTCCACCCTGAAACCTAAATTTTAGAATCAAACCCCAAAATCCCGGGGTGTCAAACACTCCCCAGTTCCCAAATGTTTGGGTTGAATCCCCATAGCCCCAAATCCTGGGGTTTAAAACATCTGGGGTGTCCACCATCTCCAATTCCCAAAGTTTGGGGTCAAATATCTCCAAACCCTAAGGTGCCAAACACCCTCAATCTCCAAAATTTGGGCTTAAAACCCCCAATCCCCAACTCCTGGGGTTTGAAATATGTGGGGTATCCAACCCTCCTCATCCCCAAAATCTGGGGTCCAATCCCCTAATCCCCAAATCCTGGGGTCAAAGCCCCCCAAAATCCCAAATCCTGGTCAAATACCCCCGTACCCCAAACCCTGGGGTGTCAAACACCCCAACCCCCAAATTTCAGGATCAAATCCCCCAGTCCCCGAAGTCTCGGGGGTCACGCCCCCCCCCCCCCCATCCCCAGCATCCCCCCAAAACCACTCCAGCCCTGGGGGCACAGTGGGGTTTATTTTGGAAGGCTCCAGGTGCAATGTCTGCAGAGAGACTCTGGGTACAATGCTGGGAAAGACCCCAAAACCCCCTTGGGAACCCCAGAAACATGTGGGGGAGTGGGAAAAGGGGATTTGGGCTTATCTGGGGTGGGGGCAGCTCCAGGTGCAATGTCTGCAGAGAGACCCTGGGTACAATGCTGGGAAAAACCCCAAAAACTCCTTGGGAACCCCAAAAGCCCCTGGGGGTGGAGAAAGTGAATTTGGGGTGGGGATCCAGGGTGGAAGAAGGGCATTTGGGGTGAAAGAAGGATTTGGGGTGAGAAGATGTAGGGAGGAAAGAAGAGCATTTAAGATGGATAAAGGAGCTTTTGGGGTGAGAGGAGGATTTGGGATGCACAAAGAAGGATTTGGGATGGAAAAAAGGAGATTTGGGTGGGAAAAGGAAATATTGGGATGGAAAAGGATTTTGGGGTGGAAAAAGAAGGATTTAAGATGAAAAAAGGAGATTTTGGGGTAAAAAAGGGATTTTAGGTGGGGGAAGGGGGATTTAGGGTGGGGAGGGGAAAAGGGAGATTGAGGTGGGAATTGAGGCATTTAGGATGGGGAAAGACTTTTGGTGGAAAAAGAGGATTTAGGGTGGGCTGGGAAGCACTTAGGGTGGGAAAAGAGGATTTGGAGTTAAAAAAGGAGATTTTGTGTGGGAAAAGGGGATTTCAGGTGAGCAGGGAAGGATTTGGGGTGGAAAAGGGTTATCTGGGGTAGATAAAGGAGATTTGGGATGCACAATTGATTTGAGGTGAAAAAAACGGGATTTGGGGTGGGGAATTGAGGTGGAAAAGGGAGATTTTGGGACTGGAAAATAGATTTGGGGACCACAAAGGATTTGGGCTGGAAAAAAAATAATTTGAGGTGGGAAAAAGGAGGATTTGGGTTAAAAAAATGAAGATTTGGGCCGAGCTGAACTTACCTGGGGGAGTGGGGTGTGTGGGGGTTTGGAGCAGGGCCAGGACTTTTTCTGGGGCAGTTTTCTGGGATTTTGGAGTATTTTTCTGGGATTTAGGAGCAGTTTTATGGGATTTAGGGTGTTCTGGGGTGGTTTTGAGGGATTTTAGGGTGTTTCTATGGGATTTTGGGGTGTTTTGGGGCAGGTTTTGGGTATTTAGGGGCGGTTTGGAGGCGCTTTTTTGGATCTTGGGGTATTTCAGGCCCTTTTTTGGGGGGTTAGGGGTATTTTGGTGGGGTTTGGGGTGTTTTGGGTCACTTTTTGGCGAAAGAGATCTTCATGGCGTTGCTCTGGGTGATCTTGAAGCCCTGCAGGGCCTCACGGGCAGCGCCCGCCTGCACCTCTGTGTCGAACTCCACGAAGGCGATGTCGTGGCGCCCGGGCACCAGGCGCACCTCCTTGAACCCTGGGAACCTGGGATGGGGAGTGGGGTCAGGAGAGCCTGAAAAAACCTGCGACCGCTCTCCCAGAAACCTGGGACTGTTCCCCAAAAAATCTGACAATGTTCCCCAAAAATATTCCAGAAATGGTTCCCCAACAAAATCCAGAAATGCACCCCCCAAAAACCCCTGAAACAGCATCTCTTAGAAATCCAGCATCATTCCCAAATATCCAGCCATGTTCCCCAAAAAATCCAGAAACTTCTCTCAAAAACTCGGAAATATTCCCCAAAAAACCTGAGAACCTAAAAATTTCCCCCCAAAATCCAGAAGCATTTCCCTCAAAAAACTTGGAAACATTCCCAAAAAGATCTGGCTACATCCCCCAAAATCCAGAAACACTTCAAAAAAAGTTCCAGAAATCCAACTCCCCATAAAAGTCCAGAAATGTTCCCCTAATATCCAGAATTTCCCCTCAAATTCCAGACTTCTCCCCCTCAAAAGATCCAGAAATCCAACTGCACCAAATATCCAGAAACATCCCCAAAAATATCCAGCAATGCTCCCAAAACCCCAGAAATCCAACTCCATAAACATTCCCTAACATCTGGAAACATCTCCCTCCAAAAATTCCAGAAACATTCCCCCAAAAATCCAACGCATCCCCCACATGACTCCTCTCAAAATACCCAAAAAAATCTCAAATTCCAGGAATGCCACCAATGCCCCCGAGGGAGCACCTGGATTCCCAGTGCCTGGGAATTTGGGATGGGGGGTCGGGGTCAGGAGGAGCTGAAACTTTGGGGAAATCCCTGAGAAATCCAAGGGGGAGAGCCCGAGTTTGGGAAAACCCCCAGTATTGGGAAATTACCCCCAAAATCCGACTGAAATGCTCTCAAAATGGCTTGCGAATCTCAGAACGTCCCTCAAAATCCCAAAATATCCCCAAGAACCCCAAAAGTCCTGCAGGATTTCCCCAAAATTCCAGGGAAATGCTCTGAAAATCTTTCAGTGTTCAACTCCCCAAAAATCCAACAAACCCAAAGATTCCAAAACATTTCCAAAAATCCAACATCCCATCAATCAAAAATCCAACTCTAAATCCCACTTAAACATTCTCAAAATCCCCAAAACTCCAAAAACCCAACATCCCCAAAATCCAGAAATATCCCACAAGATCCCGAAAAATTCCACTACGTCCAGAAACATACCACCAAGATCCCACAAAAACCCTCCCAAAATTGTTCAAAACCTCCAAAAATCCAACCTCCCTAAAAATCCAGAAACATTCCCCCTCACCAAAGCCTCCCTGAAAAAATCCAGAAAGACTGCCAAAAATCCAGAGGTGTTCCCCAAAAAAATCCAGGAGTGTCCCCCAAAACACCTAGAAACATTTCCCCCAGAAATTGAGAAATGGTCCTCAAAAAGTCTAGAAACATCTCCCCAAAAACCCCAATAAACTCTAAAATTGAGGATCTTTCCGCAAAAAATCCATAACTGTCCCTGCAAAAAGCCAGAAACTTTCCCTGCAGAAATCCTGAAATATTCCCCAAAATCAAGGAACTTCCTCCCAAAATCCACAAATGTTCCCCCAAAAATCTGGAAACTTTCCTCAGAATCTAGAAACTTTCTTAAGAAAAACCAGAAATGTTCCCCCCAAAACTCATAAACCTGTCCCCCCAGTCCAGAAAGTTTCTCAAAAAAAAAAATCCTGAAGCATTCCCAAAAATCATGAAACTTCCCCCAAAAGCTCCAGAGCCATTCCCAAAAAACCCCAAAAATCCAACTCCCCTAAAAAAAACAAAAACATTCCTCAAAAAAGTCTGGAAACATTCCTCCAAAAACCCAGAAATTCCTACTCAAAAAATCCAGAACTTTTCCCCCCAAATCCTGATATTTGCCAAAAAAAAAAAAAAAAAAAATCCAGCCAAAGGCCTCCTCCTCTCTCCACGCCCCAGAATACCCCAATCCCCCAATCCCTGCCCAGAATTCCGGAATTGCCCAAGGTCTCACTGGTTGAAGAGCATGGAGAGCATCAGCTCGTTGGTCTCCTCAGGGAGGTTGGTCAGGAACAGGATGTGGTTCGGGGGTTTTCCGACAGCTGTGGGGAATGAGAGAAAAACCCCAAAATCAGCACCAAATCTGCCCCAAATCAGGCCCAAAACCTACCTAAAGTCACGCTGTGTACACACTAAAAAAAATCTGCCCAAAAATCCACCAAAATCCTGGAAAAACCCCCATAAAAATCTGCGCAATATCCCACCAAAACCCCCCAAAAAATCTCTCTAAATAATCCCCCAAAAAATCTCTCCAAATTTGACCAAAAATTCACCAAAATTCCACCCAAAAGACCACAAAATTCATGCCAAAAATCCTTACAAAAAATGCACCAAAGCCCACAGAAATCCCTTAAAATCCCCAAAAAATCCCACAAAAATCACCCCAAACATCCCCCTAAATCTCACGGTAAAAATCTTCAAAAAGTACCACTAAATCCCCATGAAGATGTCACAGAATCCATGCAGAAAAATCTGTACAAAAATCCCACCCAAAATCCCCAAATTAAACAAAATCCACCCAAAAAATCCCTCAAAATCGTCCAAAATATCCCCTTAAAATATTGCACAAAAATTGTCCCAAAAGCCACAAAATCCACTGTAAATCCATTCAAAAAATCCACATCAAAATCCCACCAAAACCCTCACAAATCCACCAAAAAATGCCCCCAAGTTCCCTCAATCCTACCAAAAATCTCAGGAAATCCACCCAAAAAATCCCCACCAAAAATTCCCTCAAAATCCCACCAAATTCCATCCCAAAAATCCCACAAGTCCTCTAAATTACTCAGGTTCTGGGGTCACTCACGGGCTGTGGGGTAGGGATCGGCGCCATTCCAGGCTGTGGGGCCATTCCCGGGGGAATTCCAGGATTTGGGGCCATTCCTGGGGCTGGAATCATGCCCGGCGGGGGGATGTAGGGCGGTTGTCCCCCCAGGTGCGGCAACATCCGGGGTGGCTGCGCCAGTGGCGGCATCCCCTGAGGAGAGACCCCAACACACCCCAAATCATCCCAAAGGCACAGACAGAATCCCAAAGTTATGCCAAAAGTACAGTGAGAATCTCAAATCAATGTGGAATTATGCCAAACCCACAAGGAATTATCCCTGAATTACCCTAAAGACACACGGGCCCCAAAAACCCCCAATTTTCCCAAAACTATGAAAAATTATCCCAAATTATCCCAAACTTACCCTGAAAAACCCCAAAATTATCCCAAAATTACACCAAACAACTTCAAAATTACCCCAAAATTACCCTAAATAACCCCACAGGCACACAAAGAACCCAGATAACTCAAATCCCCCCAAAATCCCATCCAAATCCCCCCATGCCCTCCCAGAATGCCCAGGAACAATTCCAAATCCCCTGGAATGATCCCAGAATCCCCAGAATGATCCCAAATTACCCAAAATCCCCCAGAATCATCCCCCAAATCCCCTGGAATGATCCCAAATCCCCACAAATCCCCCAAAATTCTCAGTAACAATCCCAAAATCTCCCTGAACCTTTCCCCAAACCCCCTGGAATGATTCCAAAATCCCCTGGAACCATCCCAAAACCCTATTAAACAATCCCAAATCTCCTAAGAACAATCCCCAAAATCCCATAAAATGAACCCAAATTCCCATCAACTGATTCCAAATCCCCCAGGAATGATCCCCAATCCCCACCCAAACATCTCCAAATCCCCCAGGACTGATCCCAAAATCCCCTAAACCGATCCCAAATTCCTGGCACTCACAGGCACTGTCCCCTGTGCCCCAATCCCAAATCCCATAAATCCACCCCAAAATCCAATGGAATGATCCCAAATCCCCCAGAACCACCCCCAAAATGATCCCAAAGTCTCATTAAACAATCCCAAACCCCCTGTAGTGATCCCAAATGCCCTGGGAACAATCCCAAATCACATAAAACAATCCAAAAATCCCCTAAAGCCATCCCAAATCCCCCTGGCATTCATGAGCACTGCCTTCTGTGCCCCGTTCCCAATCCCAAATCCTATAAATGACCCCAAATCCCATAAATGATCCTGTAAATCTCCTAGCACCCACTGGGCACCACCCCCTGTGCTCTGATTCTGATCTCAAAATTCCATAGATGATCACAAATCCCATGAATGGCCCCAAAGCCCATAAAACAATCCCATAAATACCCTGGGACTCATGGGCACTGACCCTTGTGCAACAATCACAAAATCCACAAATTACCCCAAATCCCATAAAAGATCCTATAAATCTCCTGGCACCCACTGGCACCACTCCCTGTGCCCTGATTCTGATCTCAAAATCCCACAAATGAGCCCAATCCCATAAATGATCCCAAATCCCACAAAACAATCCCATAAATGCCATGAATGACCCCAAATCCCACGAACAACCCCAATCCCACAAATAACCCCAAATCCCACGAATAACCCCAAATCCCACGAATGACCCCAAATCCCATGAATGACCCCAAATCCCACGAATAACCCCAATCCCATGAATGACCCCAAACCCCACGAATAACCCCAAATCCCACGAATGACCCCAAATCCCACGAATAACCCCAATCCCATGAATGACTTCAAATCCCACCAATGACCCCAAATCCCACGAACAACCCAAATCCCACGAATGACCCCAGTCCGACCAAACAATCCCCTGGCACTCACGGGCACTGCCCCCTGCGTTGTCCCCTGCGCTCCAGCCCCGCTCTTTTTGGGGCCAGGGGCCTCTCCCCCCTTGGCTTTGCGCTTGTCCCGTTTGCGCTCCCGGTCCCGATCCCGCTCCCGCTCCACGAACGTTCCCTTCATCTTGGCGATGATGTCCGAGTCCGTCTTGGCGTACTGGATCCGCTGGGACGGCACATTCCCAGGATTGGGGCGTTTGGGGGATTTCGGAGCATTCGGGGCATCTCTGGGAGGGATTTTGGGGTTTTCCCAGGGGTGCTCAGATTTGGGGCTTTCCAAGGGATTTTTGGAGGTTCCAAAGAGGATTTGGGGTTGTTCCATGGGATTTTGGGGTGGTTCCAGAAGATTTGGGATCAGTCCAGGGGGTTTTGGGGGTGTTCCCGAGGATTTTGGGGGGATCTGGGGAGGAACTGGGGCTTTCTGAGGGATTTGAGACTTTCTCAAGTATTTCGGGGAGTTCCAAGAAAGATTTTGGGTTTTTCAAGGAACTCTGGGAAGTTCTAGAAAGAGTTTTGCAAATTTCAGAGGAATTTGGGGAATTTAGAGGGGATTTGGGGGAGTTCCAAGAGGGATTCTGGGGTTTTCCATGGGATTTTCAGGAATTCTGGGGCATTTGGGGAGGTTCCAGACAGGATATGGGGGAGTTCCAAGAGCAATTAGGGACATTTTTGAGGAATTTTGGGAAGTTCAAGAAGGAATTTTGGGAGAATTCAGGAATTTGGGAGGTGCGAACAGGGATTTTGGGATTTCCAAGGGGGATTTTGGGGTTTTCTGAGGGATTTTCAAGGGTCCTGAGGGATTTGGGAGAGATTCAAGGAGCAATTCAGGGAGTTTCTGAGGGATTTCGGGGGGTTCTGAGGGGTTTTAGGGAATTTCAAGAGGGAATTTGGAAGAATTTGAGGAGGTTTCGGGGGGGTTGGGGTTTTCCAAGGGATTTTCAGGGATTGTGAGGGATTTGGGAAGGTTCCAGAAAGTATTTTGGGATTTTCAGATGGCGTTTCGGGGAGCTCCAAGAGGAATCTGGGAGTATTTCAGGAGTCCTAGCAGGGATCTAAGAATTTCTGAGGGATTTTGAGGGAATTCAGAAAGATTTAGGAGGGATTTGGGAGTTTCTGAGGAATTCAGAGATTTTGGAGGAGCTCCAAGAGGGATTTGGGGACTTCCAACAGATTTTTGGGGCTTCCAGGTTGAATTTGCGGTTTCACCACAGGTTTGCCATAGAAGTGAAAGCTTTGGGAATTCCTGGCTAGATTTCAGGGGGTTTCCAGGAATTTTGGGGTTTCTCCCAGGATTTTGTTCTCACTGGGTTTGGCCGTAGCAGAGGAAGCTTTGGGGCAGGTCTTGTCTTGATTTTGGTGCATTCCTAGTGGGATTCGGTTTTTTGGGTTTTTTTTTTTGGTGGGATTTTGGGGATATTTGAGGCTGGATTTAATTTTTTCCCCCAAGAATTCCGGTTTTTTTCCCCAAAATCTGCAGATTTTTCCCACAATTTGAGCATTTCCCCCCAGAATTTGTCTCTCACCAGAAACTTGCCATAAAATTGGAAGCTTTGGGGTGGTCTGGTTGAATTTTGGGGATATGTGATGCTGCATTTTGGGGTTTCTCCCCCCAGGAATTCAGGATTTTCCCCAGAATTCCAGGATTTTTTCCCAAAATGTCAAAATTTTCCCTCAGGTTTGGCTGTCACCATGCACTTGTCATAGAAGGGGAAGCCTTACGGTGGTCAGGGTGAATTTGGAGGATTACAGGTTGGATTTTGGGAATACTCGAGGCCAGATTCTGGCATTTTTTCCCCCAGAATTCCAGTTTTTCCCTAGAATGTCAGATTTTTTTCATCAAGTTTCTGTCCCACTGCGGGCTTGTCATAGAAGGGGAAGCTTTGATTCCTAGTTTGATTTGAGAGTGTTCCCAGGGAATTTTTGGTAGATTTCCAGCAAGATTTTGGGGTTTTTTCCCAGAAATTCAGTTTTTTTTCCAAAATACCAGGATTTTTTCCCAAAATTTCAGTGTTTTTCCACAGAATTTCTGTTTCACCATGGGTGTATCATAGAGGAGGAAGTTTTGGGGTGCTCATGGTGAATTCAGAAGGATTATAAGTTAGATTTTAGGGATATTTGTGGTCACATTTTTGTGGTTTTTCCCTAGAATTCCAGTTTTTTCCCCAAATGTCAGAATTTTGCCCCAGTCTCTGTCTCACCATGGGCTTGTCGTAGAAGGGGAAGCCCTGCATGGAGCGCAGGGCGTTGGTGGCGCTGCTCATCTCCTTGAAGATGACAAAGGCCTGGCCCCGCATGCGGAGACTGCGAGACACTAAAATGTCCAAAATCTGCCCAAACTGCGAGAAAATGGCGTAGAGGGACTTCTTCAGCTCTGGGGACAGAGTGACAGCACGGTGACAATGGGGACAGCACACTGGCAATGGGGACATCACGGTGACACACATGGGGACATCACGGTGACAGTGGGGACGCACAAGGGACAGCCTGAGCCCCTGGTGATGCTCACAGACACTCTCAGACCCCCCCAGCCCCCCCTCACCATCCTTCTTGATCTTCTCGTTCAGGTTGTTGATGTAGATGGTGTGGTTGGGCCGGGGGTCCTGCACTGCCATGGCCAGGACTCCTCTGTGGGGACAGGAGGGCTTTAGGGGGCATCTGGGACCCCTTCACCCCCTGGCACCCCCTTTAGGTGCCCCCAGACCCACCTGAACCCCCCCAAATTTCCCACACACCCGCCCAGTTCCCCCCAAAAATTGACCCCAGACCCACCTGAGATACCCCGCAAATTCCTCCCAGAGTCACCTCAGAACCCCCCAGATGCTCCGAATCCTCCTCAGACCCCTCTAAACCCACCTGAGAACCCTCCAAACCCTCTCAAGCTCCTCCCCAAGCCCTTCAGACTCCCCAAAGCCCCCTCAGACTCCCTCATTCCCCCCAAACCGACCTCAGATCCCCATATTTTCCCTTAACCCCCCCTCCAAAATCGCCCACTTCTCCTCAGACTCACCTCAGACCCCTCTAATCAACCTCAGATCTCCCCATTCCTGCCCAGACTCACTCAGAGCCCCCCGTCCATTTCCCCCCAGTTCCACCTCAGACCCCACAAAAACTCCTCAAACCACCCAAAGCGCCCGCAAACAGCCTCGGACCACTCAATTCACCTACACCCACCTCAAACGCCCCCAACTTCTCTCAAATCCCCCTCCAGCCGCCTCGATTCCCTTCACGTTCGCCCTAGATCCACCTCACACCCTACAAAAGCCCCTCAAACAACCCCAACTGCTCCCAAACGCATTCCCAACCCACCTCAGATAGCCGTCTTTTCCCTGCAATTTCCCCCCTGGACCAACCGGACATGCTACTAATTATCCCTCAGACCCGCCCAGTTTCCCCCAAATCCGTCCCGCAGCAACCTCACATCTCCAATTTCCCCTCAGAGCCGCCTCAACCCCCACCTATTTCCCCCCAAAGCCATCTAAGACCACTCCATTCCCCTCATACCCCACCTCAGCTCTCTCCTCAGCCGTTCTCCCCTCACGACCGACCGCCGCGATCGCGTCCGCCGCGTGCGCGGGCCCCTTCCAACCAATAGCGGCGCGGGCCCCTCCCAACCAATAGCGGCGCGATCCTCCCCAAACTAACCACTCATCGTGCGGCTCGCCTCACAACGCCCGCCTCCCCCGCGCGGCTCCAGCCAATTAGAGGCGAGCCGGAAGTGGAGCCCTCTGACCCCGGGGTCGGACTTGAAGCGGGCGCTCCCTCCTCCTCCTCCTCCTCCTCCTCCTCCTCCTCCTCCTCCTCCTCCTCTTCCTCCTCCTCCTCTTCCTTCTCTGAGGCGGCCGGGACAGGTGGGGGATGGGAGATGTGGGGGAGGGCTGGGGGTCCTAAGAGGGAATTGTGGGACGTTCTTGGGGAGGTTCTTGGGGTCCTGGCGGTCTGGGGAGGGGTATTTGGTGGGGGGGGGATCCTGAGGATGAGGAGGTGTCAGGGAGGCTCTGGGGAGGGGTCATGGGGCATTGATGGGGGGGGATCTGGGGGGGGGGGTGTGGATGGGGTCTTGAGGGGGGGGGTCGTGGGAGGGTCTTGGGGGATTTTGGGGAGGGGTCGTAGGAAGGTCTTGGGAGGGTCTAGGAGGTCCTGGGGTGTTGTGTGAGGGGTTTTGGGGGCCCTGCGGGGTCCTGGCTTGGTTTTGGGGAGGGGTCTGGGGGATCTGCGGATGATCCCTGAGGGGGACTGGGGAGGGGTCGGAGGGAAGGCTCTGGGTGGGGGGGATCTCCGGGGACATCCTGGGCTGGGTCTGGTTGGGGTCTGGGGGCTCTCAGGGGGCTCCTGGGGGTCTCAGGGGCTTTTGGGAGTATGGAGGACCTGGGGAGGGGCTAGGGGTCCAGGGTGGTCCTGGGCCAACCTTGGGGGGGCTCTGGAAGGGTTTGGGGTTCCTGGAGAGGTGATTTGGGAAATCCTGGGGGAGATTTGGGAGTCCCAGACCCACCCTGAACCGGAGTCTGGGTGTTTTGGGCAGAGGGGGCACAACAGGGGTTCCCAGTCCCCATTTTTATGTAGATCTCCCATCGTTGCCCCTCCCCAAAAAGCTTCAAGGGCCCCCTGAAGTTGCTCCTGTTCCTCCAGGCAGTGCCCCCTTGATCCAAGACAGCCCCCATGAGTCTGGGGGATTTTGTGGGGATTTTTGGGCGTTTTGGGGGGGCTTTTTTGGGCTTTGGGGGATTTTGTCAGGAGTTTAGGAGGAATTAGTGGGTTTTTGGAGAGAATTACTGGGTTTTGGGGGGTTTTGTGGGTTTGGGGAGTTTTGGATTTTGGGGGGGTTTATAGAAATTTTGGGAAGTTTTTTTGAATTTTGGTGGGTTTTACTGAGATTTTGAGATATTCTCTGGGTTTTTCAAAGAATTTATTGGGATTTTTAGAGGATTTGTTTTTCAGTGGAAGTTTGGGGGGCCTTCAGGGTTGGGGGGCTTTATGGTTGCCCCTGGGTGAGGGGAAGGGCTTAGAGGCACCAAAATCTCCTTAAAACCCCCAAAAGTCCCAATAAAACCCACAAAATCCCAATTAAATATCACAAAATCCCCTTAGAACACCCTAGAATTTCAGTAAAAGCCCACACAATCTCTTGAAATCCCAACAAACGTCTCAAAACTCCAATTAAACCCCAAAAATCCCCCCAAAAATATCTCCAAAACCACAAAAAGTCCCACAAAATCCCTCCAAGATCCAAAGAAATCCTGGCAACACCCAAAAAGCCCCACAAAAACCCACCAAAATCTCCCCAAAAACCAAAAAAAATCCCAAATGAACCCAAACCCTCAAAGAATCCCACTAAATGCACCCCAAATTCTAATAAAATGTCCTCAACCCCCCTAAAAATATAATAAAACCATTATAAGCTCCAGACTCCAATAAAATCACCACAAAATCATAGTAAACCCCACTAAAATTTAACAAAACCCAAAAAGTTTTCAATAAGCTCCCAAACACCCCTAGAAAACAACCCCGCAAAGCGCCAATAAAATCCCCCCAAATCCAAACCCCTCAAAGTTCCTCAACTCACCGAAAACCCTGCAATTATCTTCAAAAAACCCAATAATTTCCCCTAAACTCCCAACAAAATTCCCCGAAGCTCACAAGAGCCCAGTGTCCCCAAAAGCCCTCCTGAGAGCCCTGGCCCCTGCCAGTCTCAACTCAGTCCCGTCCAGGGGTGCAGCCAAACGCGCGGATCCCGGAGCCGATCCTGGTGCCAGTCCCAGACTCAGCCCCAATCTCAGCCCATTTGGGTGATTTTAGGCCAAACTGGGCAGGTTTAGGGTGGGTTGCAGATCCTTTGGAGTGATTTCAAGCCTTGTAGTGTGGATTTTAGGCCTCTTTGAATGACTTTTAGGCTAAATCTTGTGGGTTTTAGAGTGGATTTTAGATCCCCCAGGATGATTTTAGGCCCATTTGTATAGAGTTTAGGCCTGTTTGGATGATTTTAGGATAAACTGGGCAGTTTTAGTGTGGATTTTGGGACCCTTTGGCTGATTTTATGTCCATACTGGGTGAATTTTAATCCTGTGTGGGTGATTTTAGGTTCCTTGTTTTGGTGATTTTGGGCCCATTTAGTTAGATTTTTTGCTTCTTTAGTTAATTTTAGATCAAATCAAGTCTTTTTAAGGTGATTTTAGGTCCTCTTGTGTTGGTTTCAGGCATGTTTGGGTGAATTTAGGTCCATGTGGGTGATTTTAGTAAAAAACAGGTGGATTTTAGGGTGGATTTATAAACATTTGGGTCATTTTAGGCAAAACCAGATACTTTATGGGTGGATTTTAAGCCCGTTTTGAAAATTCAGGGTGATTTTGGGCCATTTTGTGCAAACTACTTTGGGCAACTTTAGGCCCATTTGGTTGGATTTTAGACCCCATTGGATAACTTGAATCCCATTTGGCTGATTTTAGGCCAAACTGGTTCCTTATAGGAGCGCGTGTCCCCTCTATCCCACCCCTTTTACCTCACAGTATGGGGTTTGGGAATGGGGGAGGGAGAGGAGGGAGGGAGGAAGAGGTGGAGTGGCAGTGGGAAGCAACAGAGGAAGAGACAACGGGGGAGTCTCATGGCCCTGGCAGTTCCTGAACTCGCTGCAGCCCCGGGACCATCGTCCCCCATCCTGCAGGTGCCTGGGCAGGGGGAGCTGGGTTTGGGGTTTTTGGGGGGGATGTTTGCAGCTGGCAGGGCTCCAAAGCTGAGCCGTGGATGGCCCTCAGGGGGACATCGGGGGTCCCCAGGAGGTGTTTCTGGGGGGTCCTGGCGGGGGAAGTTGGGCTTCCTGGCCGGCCCTCCGAGCTCTGCCAGGGCCTCGTGGGGAACGCGTGGGAGCAGCGGCACCAGCGAGGGGACACTGGTTCTGGGGAGCCCCAGGAGAGCCCCAGAAGGGCAAAGCGGGGACCCTGAGAGGGGGAGACCCCTGGGATTGCCAGGACCCCAGCAGGTGGGATAGCTGGGAATGGGGTTTGGGGTTCCTGGTGCTGGAAGTGGCTGCTCCCATTATGAGCCCCCTCGTTGCTCCCCCCGTTTCCAGTTTCTGCAACATTCCCACTATGAGCCCAGTCACTCCCAGTCATTCCCTATGATGATGCAATTTGCTCCTAGCAAGATCTCACTTGCTCCCACTTTCATCTCGTGTGTTCCCAGTTCTCCCAGTTGCCCCTAGCATAGTCCTAGTCATTCCAATATGGTTCCCATCTCTACCAGCGTGGCCCCAGTCACTCACACTTGGCCCCAGCATGATCCCAGGTCCTCTAGAGCATTCTCAGCCACTCCCACTTTGGTCCCAGGCACTACTTCTATGGTGCCAGACACTTCCAGTATATCCCAGGTACCCTGAACTTTCTCATAGTTATTGCCAGGCACTTCTAGTTACCTCAGTGAACCTCCTGTTTTACTTGCCCCTGTTTTTATCCCACTTGCTCCCAGTTCTTCTAATTTTGTCCCCAGTTGGCTCCCAGTATGGGCCTGGTAGCTCCCAATAACCACCAATCAGGGTCCAATGACACGCACTCTAATCCCAGTATAATTCCAGTCACTCCCAGTCTGATGTCAGTTGCCCCCAGTGTGATCCCAGTTGCTCCCTGTCAATGCCAGAGTGACCCCAGTAGCCTCCAGTATGATCCCAGTAAATCCGTGTCTCTCCCAGGGTATCCCAGTCACCCCCAGCATGCTCCCAGTAGCTTTCAGCATGATTCCAGTTGCCCACAGCCACTCCTAGTCAATCCCAGTATGATTCCAGTCACCCTCAGTATGATCCCAGTTGCCCCCAGCATAGTTCCAGTTGTTCCTAGTTCCTACAAGTATGATCCCAGTTGCCCCTAGAATAGTCCTAGTCCTTCTCAGCATGGTCCCTGTCACATCCAGTGTCCCCCAGTGTAGATTCAATCACTTGCAGTTTCTGTAGAGTAGTCCCAGTCATCCCCAGCATGGTCCCTGCTGTTCCCAGTGTTGTTCCAGTTATCCCTAGTATGGTTACAGACACTCCAAGTTGTCCCAGTGAGGCTCTAGTTACCTGAGAATTATCCCAGTCTTTTCCAGTTATTCCCAGTTGCCTCCAGCATGATCCCAGTTTTTGTTTGTTGCCCAAAGTATAGTCCTAGTTGCTTCCAGTATGATCCCAGTTGTGAGCTCAGTCCCCTCAGCATGGTTCCAGTACAGTCCAGTTGATCCCAGTTGCTCCCAGTGTGTCCACAATTTCCTCCCAACATGGGCCCAGTAGCTCTCAGTAACCCCCACTCAGGTTCCATTCACACCCATTGTAATCCCAGTAGCTCCCAGGGTGGTCCCAGTAGTGCCCATAGTCACTGCCAGTATGGTTCCAGCCATTCCTAGTATGATCCCAGTTGCATCCAGTGTCTTCTAGATCCTCCCAGTATTATTCCAGTCATGCCCAGAGGGACTCTATAACTCCTAGTGTGGTCCTAGTTGCTCCCAGTCACCTCCAATATGGTTCCAGTCATGGCAAGCACCTTTCCAGTCACCCCCAGTCTGATTCCAGTAGGATCCCAGTCACTCTCAGTACTCACTCTCACATACTCTCAGTACTATTGTACTTACTCCCAGTATGACCTTGACATAGGCACACCTCCTGCCATTATCACTCAGCATGATTCCAGTTGCTCCCATTTACCCCCACTATCATTTCAGTCTCTCCCAGTATAACTCAATTGGTCCCAGCATGTTCCCAGCACTCTCAGATGCCCAGAGTTGCTTCCAGCCTGATCCTATTTGATCACAGCTACTCCCAGTCACCATTAGTGCAGTCCCAGTTGCTGCAAGTATGATCCCAGTCTGCCCCAGCATGGGCCCAGCTGCTTCCACTGTGATCCCTGTAGGATCCCAGTTGTCCCCAGCATGATTCCAGTTTCTCCCTGTTCCTCCCAGTGTGAAGCCAGTTGCACCCAGTTGTCCCCAGTATAGTCCTAGTCATGCTGTGGTTGATCCCAATCCCTCCCAACATGGTCCCAGTCATGCCCAGTTGCCACCAGTGCAGACCCAGTCACCCGCATTCCCTCCCAGTTGCCCACATTGTCATCCCAGTTCTCCTCAGCACGGTCCCCATTGTTCCCAGTGTGGTTCCAGTCAGCTCAGTACGGTTACAGACACTCCCAGTATACCCTAGTTGCTCTCAGCATGCTTGTAGTAATTCCCAGTCATTCCCAGTTGCCCCAGTAAGTTTCCAGTTACCCCAGTATAGCATAGTTCCTCCCAGTGATGCCACTCCTGGCATCCCCCAGCCCTCTCTGCATCCCCCCGCTCCTGGATGTCCCAAGAGGAGCCCCAAGGGCTGGCAGTGGCCAGGCAGGGTCCTCAGCAAGCCCCTGTGTGGATGTGCAGCCCCCAGCAAGGCCCAGTTTGCCTCTCCTTTGGCCTGGGCCAGGTTCCCCCCGGCCCCAGTGGCTGGGAGCAGCCGAGAGCCCCGCGCTGCCCATCCTGACCTGTTCCGGCTCCATCCCCACTCCTGCCGCAGGCACCGAGGGTGTGGCTGCTGCTGGGGGAGGAGGGTTGGAAGTAGAAGGAGGTGGGCTTAGGGAGGAGGAGGAGGAGGAGGGATGGAAGAGGAGGAATGGGAGGAAGAGGAGGATCAAGGAAAGGAGAAGGAACCATGAGGTCGAGCACTCCCTGAATTTGCAGCCCTGCACCATGGGTGGGATCATCACCCCCCCATCCTGCAGGTGACAGGGAAAGGTGACCTTGGCCCAGATATTCTGGGGGCTCTGTGGGTTGGGTTTTTTGGGGGGCAATGTTTGGAGAATGAAGAACTGTACAGCTGAGTGGAAAAGGTCCCTTTTGGGGACATTGAGGGGTTCCGGTGGCAGCTGCCGGCAGAGGCAGCCTGGAGGAGCAGAGCCCTGTGTTCCCCAGGAGCCCAAAGTGGGGAGCCCAGAGAAGGGGGAGTGCCATGATTCACAGGACCTTCAACAGCCTGGAGAGGGGCAGGGGGAACTCCTTGGAGCTCCTGCACCCCTAAGCAGAGGATAAGGGGAGAAGGCACCCTGGGACCCCAAAAAACCCCCAGCATCCCTAAATGGGGAGACTGAGGAGAGGAGAACCTTTTGGATTCCTGGGATTCACAGCAGCCTGAGGAGGATGGAAACCGAGGAGAAGGGAGACCCACAATATGAGCATGACCCCAAGCAGCTGGGACAGGGAGGAATCCCCAAAGACCAAAGGGGAGAGACCAGAGATGGGGAACTTCTCTGAGGTTTTTTCAGAGCTGAATCTTGGTGTTCTGGAGGATTCTATGGACCCCCGATGCCCAGTGACTTCCAGAGATGGACTTGGGCAGAGGGACCTTCAAACTCGACATGCTTATCCCTTGTTTTTCCCCAAACCAGGATTTCCCATTCCCAGCCCTTGGCTGGATGGAGAAGGAGGGTGCAAGGACAAGGAAGATGCCACGGAACACCCAGGCAGGTGAGGAGGAAGTCAGTGCCCCTTTCCCCCTCTCTTCTGCTCCATCTACCAGCCCAGCATGGCCCCCGGCTGCAGGACAACCCTGCCGCTGACACCGTCCTGCTGGGGATGCACTGGGGGGATCTCCTTCCCCTTCCCTGTGGCACAGAGGCAAATCCCATCCTCTCCTTGCCTTTCTTCCCCCAGAGAAGGAGCTGCAGATGGAGGCCACGGCAGAACCTCGTGGAAGAGGCTGTTTTGAGCAGCTCCACAGCACAGGAATCAAAGGGGAAAGAAAAGCCCCGGAGATCACACGCAAGGAGGGGCTGCAAACGCAGATCACGGGGATCTGAGGAGGAAAGACCCACCCTGGGCCAGGAAGGCGGCCAGGGATTGAGCCAGAGCTTGGACTTGGTGGTCCATGAGCAGCTTCATGATGGCGGGAAGCCCCACAAGTGCTTGGAGTGTGGGAAGAGCTTCAGCCGGAGCTCCAGCTTGATCTGCCACCAGATTATCCACACTGGGGAACAACCCTATGAGTGTGGGGAATGTGGGAAGAGCTTCAGCCAGAGCTGCACCCTCATCTGTCACCAGGTGGTCCACACTGGGGAGAAGCCCTATGAGTGTGATCAGTGCAGGAAGAGGTTTCAGCTCAGCTCTAGTCTCCTTGTGCACCAGCGCACGCACACAGAGGAGAGGCCCTTCCGCTGCCCCAACTGTGGGAAGGGCTTCAGGCAAAATGCCCATCTTGTCAGGCACCGGCGCATCCACACTGGGGAGAGGCCCCATGAGTGTGAGGAATATGGGATGAGCTTCAGCTGGAGCTCACACCTGATCCGCCACCAGAGGACCCACACTGGGGAGCGGTCCTATGAGTGTGGGGAATGTGGGAAGAGCTTCAGACAGAGTACCAACCTGATCCAGCACCAGAACATTCACACTGGGAAGAGGCCCTACAAATGTGGGGAATGTGGGAAGGGCTTCAGCCAGCGTGCCAACCTGGTCCAGCACCAGGTCATCCACACTGGGGAGAGGCCCTACAAGTGTTCAGAATGTGGGAAGGGGTTTCGGATCAGCTCACATCTCCTCATACACCGTCAGACTCACACAGAGGAGAGGCCCTTCCACTGTCACGACTGTGGGAAGGGATTAATGTACAACTCCACCCTCATCAACCAGCAGCGGATTCACACAAAGGAGAGGCCTTTCTGCTGCCCTGACTGCGGGAAGGGCTACAAGCACAATTCCTCCCTGATCAGCCATCGGTGCATCCACACAGGGAAGAGACCCTATGAGTGTCCACAGTGTGGGAAGAGCTTCTCACAGAGCTCAGCCTTGACCAAGCACCAACAGAGCCACCAGTAAGGAAAGCCCTGTGAGTCCCCCGATTTCAGGAAGAGCTTCGTATGCTGCTCCAACTCCATTCCCCACTGGAGGACCCTTGTTGGGAAGAGCCCTGGTGACCCACATTCCCTTTGATCCATGTTGGGAAGGCACCTAGCTGGTTATCCTTTTGTTTTGGCTTTCATTTTCTTCTGATTCATTTTCATCCCTTAAAAACAGGCAAAACAGGCTTGAAAAGAAAGAAACTGATCAAAGATATCTAAAGTCCCACCATTTCACAGTTTTAGAGGGAATTTAGGATTTGGGGACATGATCTTGAGGATTTATGGGTTCTGAGAGGATTTTGGGCAGTGTTCTCCATCTCTTTGCACTGCAGAACCAAGAGGGATCAATCTGTCTCCTCATACCAACTCAGCCCCACTGAAAATCATACATTTGTACCCCAAAAGGGCTCAATCCCAACTCAAAATTCCTTGTTCCCTCCTCAAAAATCTCAATTGTGTGCCAAACTCACTTGATTCCAAAGCCGCCATGGTGAGAAGGGGTTGGAAGGAGATTAGGAGAAGTGGGATCCAAATTTGGAACGGTGGATTGGGATTGTGTGGGGCTGGGTGAGTGGGATGTATTTGATAGTAAATAAAACTTTCAGAGTTAGTGATTTCTGTCCCATTCATTTTCAGTCAGTTGCCGTTCTGTTTCCGGAGTGCCACCTTCACAGCTGATTTTGTTTGTGTCCTCCTTTCTCTCCTGCCTCTCTTTGCCTGCTCTGTTTCTCTCTCAGTATCTCCCTTGAGTCAGGGCAGCTCCCACCCTGCTCTGATTTAATTCCCAATGCAGGAGCTACAGCAACGATCGGTGAAGTTTTGAAGCTGGCAGTGAAATGTCACTGCAAGATCTTGCAAGTAGACTTGGCTTTCAGCCCCTTCTTAAGCGCTCTGCCTTCAAGGGCAGGAACAACTTTTCTTAAGGGGGAACTGGAATTCCAGACTTTTGGAGTGTGTGCCATGCAGGACCATACAGACTGGTATCATGCGGACTGGGATCATATGGACCGGGATGGCTGCACCAGAACAATGTGAACTGAGGCAGTCCCACCCCGCCCAGGGATCCCTCCCAGTCCTGCACGGGGGCATAGCCAAAACTCTCCAGAGTGAACACGGAGGTCCTGAATTGATCCTGGTGCCAATCCCGTTCCCAGTTTTGGTCTCAGTCCCAGTCCAGTCTCAGTCTCAGTCTCAGGGCGCTCCTGGAGCACTCCCAGTGCTGATTTTCATCCTGCTGTTGATCTCAATGTCAACCAGCTGTGCTGGTCCTGGTCTCAGTTTGAGTCCGAGAGCAGTGCCAGTCTTGGTGCTGGTGCCGCTTCTGGTTTCAGTCCTCATCTCAGACTCGGTCTCTGAATTGTCCTGGTTCTAATGCTGGTACCTGTGCCAGTCTTGTTCCTGGAGTGCTCCCTGTGCCAGCCTCAGTCCCAGTCCCAGAGCGCTGCCAGTCTCGGTGCTGATTCCAATGCTAGTCTTGGTCTCAGTCCCGCAATGCTCCAGATAGTCTCCATCCTGGTCCCGGTCCCAGAGAGGTCCTGGTGTCAGTGCTGGTCTCAGTTCCAGTCCTGGTCCTGGTCCCGGAGCACTCCCGCTAGCAAGTCCCAGTGTCAGTCTTAGTCTTAGTCTTTGTCCCAGTGCCAGTTCTGGTGCTGGTTTCAGTTTCGGTCCCAGTAATGGTGCCTGTCCCAGAGTGGTGCTGGTCTTGGTTCTGGTATCAGTTCTGGTCCCAGTCTTGGGCCCAGTCCCTGAGATTTTAGGCCCGTTTGGGTGATTTTAGGCCAAGCTGGGCAGGTTTAGGGTGGGTTTTAGATCTGAGTGATTTCAAGCACTTTAGTGGGGATTTTAGGTCCCTTTGGATGATTTTAAACCTATATGGGTGGATCTTAGGCCTGTGGGGGTGATTTTAGCCCCCTTTTCTTGGTGATTTTGGTTTCAGGATTCAAACAGTGTTGTCTTTCCCCACAGCTGTTCCTTCAGCTGGATTAGGAGGGCGTCTTGGCCTCTGGACCCACGCTTTGGCTCCATTATTAGGACTGATGGATTCAAACCCTTTATCTCCAACAACAGTGATATTTGAATGTGCATCTCCTTTTTTCACAATTGTTTTTAAAACTGCAATATCAATAACTGTGCTACCCTGTCATGGGGTTGAATAATCACACCTTACTCATTATTGTTCAGTGACTTTAATTACATTAATTACTTTAATTCCTCCTTGATAATCTGCATCAACTCCTCCCATGACAGGAACACTTTTCAAAGCCAAGCTCCAGTGAGCAGTTATCAAACCAAAGTGTCCTGGAGGAATTGGAATTCCTATGTCAGTATTGATAATTCTCATTTGCTTTTGATTTATCCTAATTAATTATAATGCATGAAGGTCCAGCCCTGCAGCCTCTAGGAGGGCCCTGTCAGGGGCCATCAGACCAGAATAATTTCTCAGGAAGTTAAAGTGTCACTGTTCATAGTTATAGTTGTATTTGCAAATTGGGTGCAGCCATGCACATCCAGGGGGTTTCCATTTCCCAGGGGGCCCCTTGTACCCTTGTTAAAGCTATAAAGCACATCTGTGAGATGGGTTCTCCATGGGGGCAGGTTCCCATCTCCTTTTTTCAACTGCTCTTTGAATAACCCTTTTACCTGTTCAATCAATCCAGCAGATTGTGGATAGTCTGGTGTATGAAAAACCTAGCAGTCTTAATCACTGTATTTTTCACAGTAACAGACAAAGCATTGCACATCACAGTATCAGCAAACCCCATAAAAATAGCCAATTTCATCCGTTCCTCCTTTATTTGTTGTATACAATCTTACAAAGTTTACCACTGACATTCGGGTCCTGGAGAATGCTTTTCTGTAGGATATTTAGTGCTAGATCCTTGAGAAGTCACAGGTGGTAAATCAGAATTGTCAGCATTATTTCACATTATTATTTTATATATAGATAAAGATATAGATAGAAACATAGATAAATGTTTATAAATATATATTAAAATGTTATATTTTATTACACATATGTATATAGTTATTTATTATATTAATATTCTTTCACTTGAACAAATTAATATAAGCTCAAGATTAAAAACTTCTGCTGTGGCTCCATGTGAGAGCGACAACAACCAGTCCTTCTATTGTTGCTGTTTCCAATGTGCTGTTAACAAAATTCATCCTCATCTTTACCCACTCACAAGTTGTTTTCCTTTCTCCATATGCAATTTTTGGATGCATTTTAATACATCCAGTGGTTCAGCTTCTTTAAAGTGACTGCGTCATTGCTCACACGGTGTTCTGACCTCAGTCTACTCCAGAGTCAGCAAACTCTAGGGAAGGGCTTCCCATCTGTGAATTTCAGATGGGACTGATTCCTTAAATTTACATTTAAGAAGTGACATTTTGTTGTGATCTGGCCAGACTGTGCCAGTTTTGTTTCATGAGTGGGCAGGGTCAGCACCAAAGAAACAAACATGAACTGAAGGAATCAGTGTAATTTACTGTAGTTCAAAGCAGCAAAGAATCACAGGAGAAGCTCAGCAATGCACCCAATCATCACTACCAAATATTACCTGCAGTGATTAAGATCCATCACTGTCGTGGTGAGGATGGCTGCAGCAAACCTCTTTGGTTCCCTAACTTCAGGGCAAAGGTGACGAAAATGAAAAGGAGTGGGTTCGATGGAGTTGCCTGGAAAGAACTTTAATAAAGGGTGAAAACAGCAAATGGGGAGTAGCTGAGCACAGTGTGAGGGGCAGCATCCAGAGACCCAAAACAAAGGGGAAGCAGCAACATATACACTTGGGGGTGGAACATTCTGGAACTATAACCATATATGGGAAACAAGTAATCAATAGGGGAGCAGAACTTGGACAACTTAACATAATAACACCACAGGCTTATGGGGGAACTCTCAGGCTCACCTTAAATTAAACGAATGATTCCCAGGGCTTGAAACTAATGCCCAGTTCTTTTGGGGTAAAATCTGGCTGACTTCGCGTCACAGCTGGGACAATTCCCACATCTCCTCCTTTCTGTTTCCTAACAAAAATGGAGCTGAAAGAACTTTGCAAAACTATAAAAACATCCAAACAAGCATGGAACAACCAACACCACAGCAACAACAACCAAGAAAACTAACAGTCCCATCTTGACTAAAGACATCATCCAACCCTTCAGTCCCCAGAATTTGAAGAGTTTATTCAACCAGTCTTTGTTTTCCACCTGAAGCTTCTCGAACCCTCTCCTCAGCACTTGAATGCTGCTGTGAATTGACTTGCTGTGGCGGGAGAGGTTAATGAAACACATTCCCTCAAAGTCCTCACAGCTGTGCTCATGTGCCAAAAGTAGAAAGTCTATTCTGCCCTGTTCTGCAAGGTAGTGTGTCTGATGGTATCTACGTCTGACAGCAGGCCACTCAATGCAAGGGAAGTAGCATTGGTTTGCTTACTTAGGCACCCAAGATGGTCTAATTGTCCTAATGTTAGCGTTCAGGAACACATAATCACAGAATGATTGTATGCAGGTGCTTTTATTGAAGAGCTCTGGGTGTCAGGGGCACAGACCCAAATCTGACTACAACATGGATTCAGGATGAACATGGTTTTATACACTTATCATTATATAACTACATACTAATTATTAAACTTATATTGTTCTATTGTATACGTTGATTTCATCCAAGAATGGATTTCCGTAATTTCCATCAAACCCCCCAAACATAATTTCTCATTATTCTTGTTACGATTAAACAGTGCTTATATCCAATTACCAAACAATCATCACATCTAACAATCATATAATTTATCATAGTCATTAAATGATTATACAGGTGCAGCCTAACATTTTCCCAGGGTCTCCCTCAACATTTTCCCAGGACCTACCAGGCCTATCCTTCCTTTCTAACTCCCCTGAATATTCCATGATTTTAGAAACATTTTATTCCCTATACTATCACTAAGGCTTTGGATTCAGCCACCCAAGGGCACAAGATGGAGGCTGATTTTGTCTTGTTTTTACTCCAATACATAACACTGTCTTTGCAATCAGATTCGAAGTAGTGCCTAGATCTTTTCACTCTATCTCTTTGGCTATGAATCATTTTCATGTTGGATGCCAGCAAGGTAAGCCTCTCCAAGCTTCAAAGTCCGCCTTTGATGTGTGAAGTGATACTGGGCCATGCCCTGTCCCTGCAAATAAGAAACACCTGTCAAGAATATTTTGCAGGTTGAGGAGTTTTTGCAAGACAATGGCCATATTCAGCCAATGCACAATCCAGCCTGCTTGTAATAATGGACAATGGTCATGTTCACAAACAATGAATTATGGACATATTCAGAAATGGGGTCAGTATATCCTTGGAAAAGATACAAGAAGAAGAGTCATTTGGCTCAGCAAGTTTGTCAGTGAGCTTGAGAAAGTAAGAAAAAATGTGAGCCATGGGTGAGCCGGACAACCACAGCAAGACACATGAAAAATTACATGATCCAATCAGCATTCTATTTTAGACACATGAACAGCTAGGATTAACCAATCATGTATTAGCTAGAGACACGTGGACAGTAGAGATTTATAATAAAATATAGTCTTTTTAGGGATAATAAATTTGCTTCACTGGATCATATTGGTTATGGTGTGATGTCCCTGAACCTTGCACCCCACATTTCTGGTGGAGAATACGGTCAGGCCCAATGTCGTAGCACCAGAGGGACTCAAGGTCGGCAATTTGGCTGCTGTGCAGAGGATCGGAGCCAACCCTCGAGAAGCGGAGAAGCCGGTCGAAAGTATCCTCACTGCCCCGGTGAGAGGAAAAGGTTACTGGAGCTCCAATCGTAGATGACTTGAATCTCACCCTGATCAAGGCGAGCGGCCAGGGAGGAGATGGGGTCTGAACATGAAAGGGAAAGTGTTCAGAAACTCCTCCAACATATCGTCTCTAAGAGAGAACAAAAGCATGATGCTTCCAATTTGAAGGGACTATTACACTGGGTTTGGGACTATAATCTCATAGCAGGAGCACAGGTTGCTTTTGAGATTTTGACATGGCAAGTTGTGGGGCGGATGTTGTGGGACAGTATTGCACCTGGTAGGAGTGAGGCAAAAGAGGCATCTAAATATGCTACTTTGTAGAAAACTGTCATAGAGGTGTTGCAAGCCTTAAAAGCAGAGAGGAAAGCTGCTGCTGCGGCTTCTGCAGCCATTGCCTCTGAGTCGGAACAGCCTCAGGCATTTCCAGTAACTTCAGTTCAGCAACTGTTTCCTACCACCTTAGAAATTCCCTCATGTAGCCCACAAGCCCTCAGCTCAGAATCGAGCATTACACGACTGCTCCTCCAGCTAAGAGCGGGAATGAGGAAGCTGCTGCCTCTTCGAGGGGGGTTAGGCTGCAGAACAAAGGACAGTTGTACTCAGAGTGAACAAACTGTTGATAACAGTAATTTAGGAACTAAACATGCTGAAAGTGAAAAGGATAAGGAAGGATATATTATGAGTAATGCTTCTATCGAAGAGGATTTAAAATCTTTAGTGGACACTTTGCAAAAATTGGTAATTCAACAAAAGGATTCAGTTGTCCCCAAAAGAGACTATTCTTTTGAGAAAATGGACTTGCCAATGATAGTAGGTTCAGACAGACAACCAGGAAAGTGGTTACCACCCTCTCATTTTGTCTCTGAGCCAGTATTCAAGCTGGTTAAACAAAATCCTCCCTCCATGTTGTAAAGAATGTGGAATTAGAGTTGGAATGTGACCTTGAAATACAAGCAGTTCAGAAATGGAAGTGGAAGGGAGTTATTACAGAAGCTATTGTAGAAGGGACTTTTCTCTCAAATGATGTAGAAGGTTTTCCTGTAGTAACTAATGCTGCAAGTAGAGTTTGAGAACCCTTCAATTGGAAGATTTTAGGAAAGTTGAGAGTTACAATTTCACAATTTGGTTTAAAATCCCAACTTGCACAGCCACTTCTGCAGTATATTTTTCCATCTAACACTAATTCCAGCTGATGTGCATACCCTAATAAGATTTATAATGCCACCCCATCAGCAGGTGATGTTTCATAAAAGCTGGGAGGAAAAGTGTGCTCAAGAAGCAGCAAGACCTAGAGTGCAAGGTGATCCTCTGTATGGTTTAACAGCACAACAGTTACTTGGCAAAGGGCCCTGGGCTACTGCCACTGCCCAGGCTAAGAGCATTGATCAAGTCTTAGAGATGAGCCAACAACTGGCATATAATGCTATCCTTGCACTTCCAGATGGGTTACGCACTAAGTCTTTTACACAGATTTGCCAAGGAATGAAAGAGGACTTTGATAAATTTGTAGACAAATTGCAGGAAGCTATCTATGATTGTCTTGATTGGGATTCAGACACAAAGGTACAATTGTTTAATATGCTTTCTTTTGACAATGCTAATGCTAAAACCTGTCAGATTTTGGGAACATTAAAGAAGGGAGCTGATGTTACAGAAATGCCAGAACTTATGGCTAGAACTACAGAGAGAGAAAAAGCAGCCTATGTAGCTGCTGCAGTACAGGATGCAGTAAAACCATTGCTTTCTAAACAGGAAAAGAGAGCCAAAGGAAAGAACATTAAATGCTATGAGTGTGGTAAAATTGGACATGTTGGGAGTTAGTGTCGCTCTGCAACTATGAAAAAATTTTGTTCTATCTGCAAAAAAGATAACCACAATACTAAATAATGTCGGTTCCAGGGAAACGAACTTAGGAGAGCGTAATTTCTGTGGGTAAAGAAACAAGTACAGAGAGCTGCCTGGATAGCTCAGCCTCCCATGGAGGAGGAGGAGGACTTTGCTCACTCAGATCATCAACTTCTAGAAGCACCAGAGTGGACATGGAAACCGCAGTAGATGTTACCATCACCGACTCTGCTGTACACCTGATAGATACTAATGCAAAAGGACCCTTGGGGGATGGGTTTAGTGCTTTTCTGTTAGGGAGATCATCTGCCAGTAAAAAGGGATTGGATGTAATTCCAGACTATCAAGGGGTTGTTAAAATTATGGTTAGAACATTTTTTCCTCCTGTATCTATTCCCAAAGGTTCACTAATTGCTCAATTTGTTTCTTCTAAGTCTTGTGTCCCCTGTACAGGCTACAAGGAATGGGGAACAGGAAGCTTTGGTTCCACAGGTAAACCAGAAGTATATTGGGCCATGGACATCACAAGAGGTAAACCAGACAAACAGGTAACCCTGACACATCCTAATGGTGATTCCATTACTAAGAAACTCATAATTGATACTGAAGCAGTTGTAACCATCATTTCAAACACAATATGGCCAAAACATTAGGCATTGGTCAATCCTACTTTAGGCATTGCGGGTATTGGAGGGACTTAGGCAACTCAGATGAGCAGGGAAGTAATTACTTTTACTTTCCCAGATGGAGTGAATGTATCTACAAGGCCTTATGTCATGCAAACTCCTGCTACTTTACTAGGTTTGCTTGGTAGGGATCTCTTAGGCCAGTTAAAAACTACCATTGTTCCACAGCCTTTTTAGCAGCGGCCACTGGAAGGCAGCCAATCCTCAAAATCAGCTAGACCACTGATACACCTGTGTGGATTGATCAGTGGCTTCTATCAAAGGAAAAGCTGCCCATAATCCAACAATTAGTGCAAGAAGAGCTTGAGGAAGGGCACATAAAGGCATCCACTAGCCCGTGGAACACTCCAATTTTTGCCATCCCAAAAAAGAGTGGGAAATGGACTTTGCTCCATGATTTACATGCTGTTAATGCAGTAATGCTAAGGATGGGTGCCTTGCAACCTGGTCTTCCATCTCCTACTATGCTGGAGAATTTTACTCAGACATGGCTTGAAGGAAAAAAGGCCATGAAAATATACAGCTGATTGAAAAATAAAAGGCAGCTGTAAACAGCAAAGTTCTCAGACACATTCCTGTAAACAGCAAAGTTCTGAGGCTTGTTTTTTAATAACAAGTAAATACCTTGTCCTTGGATAGTGATGGGAAAGCAGAGTGACAAACATGGAGGCTTTGAGAACAGTTAATAACAGGATGAGAAAA